TGTTGAATCTGAGTGTCAGTAGTCAGTCTAGTAGTGATGTTGGTAATAGTGTTGTTAGTTCTTGGTGTTGTATTTGAGTCCCTTGTCAGTTTGTGTGTAGTCTTTTTAGCTTTCTAAGTGAAATTTTTATCTTTTCTACCAAAAATAAATAAATAGATATATGTGGCATCTCTAAGGAAGACTAATGTTCCAAATTCTTGTCATGAATCTTCTTAGTATAATGAGCTTTGACTTTGCACAAAACTCATCCCAGAAATTAGGTCAGTAGCAACTATCATCATCTGTCACTACTAGGCAATTTGCTTACTTTGACATCAACAGCTGTAACTATGTACAATGACAGTTTTCTTTTGATCAATAAAATGGTATGTTTTTATATATGCTTTTGAACATTTCTGGTAGTTTTTTTTCACATTTAGGTATATCTAGACTTTTAAGTATCTTCACAAGTAACAAGACTCACAGCCCATTATACATTTCCTATCAGGATCAGGGAATGCACATCCAATCCCTACCACTAAATTAAATAAGATCTAGAAAAGGTTAACAACTTTTGGTTAATACTTCCTTAGCCTTGAGCTACCAGAAAATGTACTTATGGCGCAGTGCTGTCTTTTTCAATCCTCACATGCAGGAAGAATTGAACCCAATAAATATCAACCCCCTTGGATAACAAAATGACACTGTAAGCAGCATCAACCAAATGATAACATGTCACAAATCTTAGAAATTCCTACTCAATATCCTGTTTCCCTAGACGAAAAAGTAACAGACAAGGGAACACACCCCATGGACGAATCCAATATCCCATGTTGTAGATATACTACTTTCCGAGAATCGCGCCTGCAACAACATGGCATTATAACTGTCAGGAATCCATGTAGCAGCACAAATCTGATACTGGAATAACTCAGACCATCTAAAAAAGAAAAAGGATTCATTTGACCAATCAAAAAACAAAAAAAAAAAAAACAAAGCAAAAGGACTCATTTGTTACCTTGGAATCCTTTCCAAATGAAGGACGTAGCCATCAGAAGTAACCAAGCGAATAGCTTCATATGGGTATCTGATAAAGCAGCTCAAATTAAAAAATTTGGCAATGTAGCAGAAAAATATTGTAACACCCATAAAGAAAACATATGAAGGATGAAAGTGACTTTGTACATCACTCCAGCCCTTTTTTTTTTTTTTGCAATATGAGATCCAAGCTAATTGCAGATAACTTCTATTGAAGTTAAATTAGATCTCATTGTTTAATTATTTGTGTACAAAAACTAGATAGGCCTTACCCAAGCTCAGTTATGACATCTTGGCATGTCCGTGCATCTGTATTTAGAGACTGATGGAGAGTGACATGCCTTTCGGTAGGTGTAGGATCATTTTCTCCAAGGGTAGCTGTGGGAACAGATGCATCTAAACCACCAGAAATTACATGTTCACTGCTACTATCCCTGGTAGAAAACCAATTAAATAATATTCTGAAGGCTTCTGATGGGGAAAGTAGACAATGTGCTGCCTTGTGGAAAATGTCAAAGATGGCTTCTATGGAGATCTCAATTGCTAGTTGAAGGTCCTGGTGACAGTAACATCAGATATAAGAAAGGAATACAAAAATACAATGTTAAGACAAATGACCTTATGCAATAAAAAGAATGAAACCAGAAGCACAACTGAAAGGAATATAAAGGTAATAATTTCCAAAAGAGAAATCCCTGCAGACCTCAACAACCCCACGCCGCCTGTCTGTGGTTCGCTGAAAAATCTGGTCCTTAAGGAGGTTTGATTTCTTGGTAGTGTGTAAATGTGATGGGTGGTGGCCTCGAGTGGAGCTAGAGGTTGTCCGAAATAAACGATAAAGATGAAAAGGCAACCCAAGAAGAAACGTTACAGGCCAAAAGATCCATGAAAATAAGCGCTTGATCCAGCGTGCTTGACGTCTATCATACTTGGAGAAACTAGTTGTTCGGGATGCACGTGAAGCCTGGGATAAGGGAGATATGGAATGCATGTTATCATCACTATCTTCTTCTCCAGATGAGTAATCCATGGTTGATGAAGCACCAGAATCCATGGAAAGTTCATGAATGAATTGGTTGAAGGAAGAGACACCACTATCATCAGAAAGCAAAGGTAAATAAATGAGTAAATATTACTGTCTTGTCCTCCTATCAGAAAGCAAAGGTAAAAGATCCTACACTATAATTGTTCTTATTGAAAAGTATACGGTCCATATTAGTTCAAACTACCTCAAATATGCAAAGAAAAATCAGGTAAAAAAGATGTACTACAACCATAAGATCCTACTGGAACACCTGGCATGGCTTTAGTAGGGAGAAGAATTGTTAAGATCAGTTGAGATAGTACAAATTCAAATAGGACAAGAAGAATATGTAATTGCATGAAGCACAAGACAACCAAATAAAATTACTTCCACAATATTGTGATGAGACCATAAGACAGGGTCTCTCTACATAGCTTTTGTAGGACAAAAAAACATTAAGATCAGTGGAGAAAGTATACATCCAAAACCCACAAGGGGCAATAACAATATGTGATTGCATAAAGCACATCATGACTAAATAAAATTACCATCATAATTTTATGATGATTCCATTATTAATTCCAACAATCCAGTTTTCCAATTTAAGGATTTTGATTATCAATAAACAGGATGGTAAAAGAATTTATGCCACAAGTTTCTAATTGTGAACTTTTCATGTTGCTAGTTTGATCAAGTTGTTTCCAGCATGGTAGATAATGAGGGTAAATAGACATCCACACAATTGAATTAATTATCCATGTCCTGGAAGTTGAGCTGCTAAAAGATTGGTTCAAAGAGTCCACGACAATTTCGTTTCCAAGCAATCTACATAAATGGTGTCATCATCAGGTCAAAAACAAGGCAAGACTCTAATAACAATTTTCTACAAAAATCAATTAATCTCAAGAAATCCCCATAAGAAAGAATAACCATTTATATTAAAATCATAAAACAAAGTAAAATATGGAGTACATACAAACAGCCAACAAATACCAATTGCAGTGCTCCATACATGCATCACAACTGGAAAGAAATAAAGGGAAAGGTACATATCTGATGTAAGCAAGAAATTCCAATCAAATTATTCATTAACCTATGAAACCATTTCAAGACCATTATTCCAATATCAATTTTTAAATGTTTCAAAACCTTTCATGGTTTATTTTGCTTTTGCTTTCTTCTCCATGATTTTTTTTTCTTTTCTTGTGATCAGTGAGATTATGAATGTTTGCAGAGAATGATCCTTGAGAATACAACTTCTAAAACCTACGTATATATCATATATGTATCCATTAATTAGATGCAAGTACTTTGAGTTCAGATGAATTTCTAGTTGAACGTATTTTCATGTCCTAAAAGGTAGACATCTTTCACCGTTTTATTTCATTAAATGCAAATAAAACTAAGATCCATCCTAAGATCAATCAGAGAAATTAAACATTTAAGAATACATGATAGATATGACTATGCCATTGATGAAGAAATGATATCTATGATGAATAGTGGAATGTGATAAAGGGTAGCTAAAAGTCAGATCATATATGCTTAAAATTGTAAAGCATCAATTAAAAATTAAATTCAAAAGAATATTAAAAAATAGGCATTTAAGAAATAGGTATTGCAAATTAATTTGATAGTAAGGCATTCCTTAATTAGAAATATCACTATAAGATCTAAAAATATAACAACAATAACTTAAATCATTGATTGAAATAGTTTAAAAAAAAAACGTCATATCAATGAATAAGGTTTAATCTGTGGAAATTTCAAGTGTCTTAAGGCAAAAGGTAGAGTGGGAATGAGATCCAAAAGCACAACATGTGCCTAGCACATAAATCTCATGGAATCAACCTGGAAGAAAATCATGTGAAAAAGGAAAATTTTCCAAATAAAATGTGCATATAAATGATATTTCAAGGAGCATAATTATGCAAAAATTCCCAGATAAAAGACTTCACTCTAGCCTTCAGAACTTACTTTTCCATCCAACGGGGAAGTCGAGGTCCACGAAAAGTTGGTCTGAGTTCCCAGCCATGGATACCTTCAAGAATAGTGGCTTTTCCTGGCAATATTACCAGCAGAAGTGCTGAAATTCCATTTATCAGCCGCACTATATTGTTCAAAGATTCATATGTAAATGTCTTGACTGACCTACATATGCAAAAATAAGCAATCACTTAAATGCCACATCATGTTTATCAGATAATACAGAATATAGTACAATAAAAAAGAAATATTGCATTGCACTAGCAAAACATGACGAAACTGAGGATGAAAGCAGAGAAACGCATCCCCCATAACGAACAAAGCACCACAAAGCCCATTCTATTAGGTATGCTGCATGCAGGGAAACCACTATTGAGTATTGACAACTTAGTTACATGATATAATTAAGGTTACCATGTCTAAATTATGGAGTGTAATTATCAAACTGACATCCCAGTCTTCTAAAATCTAAACTACAAGTCTTGACCTAAAGAAAGTTTCTTACATTGGCACACAATAACCAATCCAAAATTGTCTGAAAGTTGGACTCCCAAAAAACCACTTTGCTGAGAACACTGACCAATTGGACAATGCTAAATGGTCAACTGTGGTGGAATACTTAGATATTATTTCAATATTGAGATTTCTCAAAGGTGAGAAAAGGCTTTAAGTGTTTCAAGGTAGTCTTGTTGGTTTTGACCTGCTTGTTATATGTGTGGTGTGGCTTCCTTATTTGCTTTATAAGTAATAACGATTATTACTTTATCTGATTGGATTAGTCAAGGCTAACTTGATTCAATAATCCTATTGCCAAGTGACAACACAATATATTAATAAACTGAATAAATTCAATAGGACCTTGTACAACTACAAATCCTCCCGAAGGACAAACTACTGGATAAGGAATCACATATTCACATCAACATGTGCACATGGAGATACACTGCAAGAACTTAAGATCAAGAGATAATAACATGAACCTATGATCCTGATTTGGAGAGTAAGCTAGCATGGTTATGTCCCTTTTAATTTCTTGCCAGTAAAAGATCAGTGACATAAAAATGTTATGATCCCAACTTTGTGGAAGTAGGTTAATCTTTAAAGCTTCAACAAATTCTTTCTTTCCAAATGCTTGAAGCGACAGCCAAACAGAGTAGCGGACAAGTTTCCAAAAGGATTATTAGCATCTGGATGCTGAAGCCATCTGTGAACCATCCATTGACGGAATTGCAATAGGCTTGTTGAGATGGCACAAAAAATGTCAAAATCTTTTAGGAAGAGAAATATTGCAGGTAGAACTCAGAACGTCAGTGTAAATGGCTAACCGATTGATTTTTTTTCCAATAGAAGAAACAAAATTTGGCATGATTTCTTCTTCTGCTTAGGTAACCAACTTGGTCAGAACCCAGAAACTTTCAGATGAATAAGAATAAAAATTGTACGTTAAGAATCTCCTTCCTGGTTTCATTCGCAAATCACCGCATCATCATCTATCCAGTAAGAAAAACTTCGGAAATTCTATAGGCCAAGAATGTTTTCTTCTCAGTCGTTAAAACCTCTTCAAAAATTTGGACTCCAAACCATTTACTGCAACTCATTCAAAACACTAGCTAAAGAAATAACCTCCTGTGGGTAATTAATTGGATAAAGTCATTCCCGTCTTTGGATTTGCCCGGTAGGTTCCATATTGAATCTACCCAAACCATCTGATATTAATTTTTTTTGCTTCCAAATTGAGAAACAAAAGATATTCTGAACAAATTAAAACCCAAAAAGGGAGAAAATGCCCATTTAATTAACAATCTACCAATTTTCAAATAAAAAACATCTAGAACCGGAAAAAGAACTGAAGAAGTATCACACGTAATCATGGGTATCATTATGTCTCAGATTTGATCAGCAAGAGAACAGCTTTAAAATCAGTCAGGACCCAAAGAATCATAATAATTAGTTGAGAAATAAATCAATTAGTTCAAAAAGAAGAAGAAAAAGAGATTTCGTTACACTCACTCTTTGGTGACTGCGAGGCCGTGATCAACAAGTCGCTGCATCGTCAGCTTGGATAACAAAACACCCCAATTGAAAAAAAAATCTCACATTCGAAGAAGGGAAGCGCGAAGACAGACGGAAACAGAGGAAGATCAGAAGATTTCCCCGAGAAAAGAGGGAGGGAATGGCGATACCTCCCTTAAGGATGAAGTCGGTTTGAGCGGGACCGGAATTCCACGTGTCAACAGTGGCTGACCAAGCGCGCGATGTCGGTCGTTTTCTCCTTTCTCTTTCTCCCTCTTCCCTCCTTCTCCTGGTACCGCGGTTCCCCTCTGATTATTTTATACACTGTACTCACACCTTCAAAAAATCAGAAGAGATGTTCATCATCCAGTGCCAGCGGCGATAATTAAATCACGGAATGACAAAAATATCATTAAAGTAAAAAATAAATAAAAATAGTCAAAATCAAAACATCAGTGGTTGTGGGACCGTTCTGCGTTATCCTCTTCCTCACTCACATTAGAAAATTTCGTCGAATACCCAACAGGCAAAAGCGAGTAGGCAATACCCACCGGACGTGGCGAAAACAACCCCCTCCCGCCCCCCCTTGCGGCTCTGCCTTCTTCGTTTGTCACTTTCTATGCTAATATTAATATGTATACTTTCAGTGGTGGTGGATTTGTGTTGTGTTTGTTTGAGGACAAAAGTACTCAGACGAAAGGTAGGGAGACGTACCTATATCCTATATGCCACGGCTAACAGTCTAACACAGAGGAAAGCAAAAACCAGAAAAGAAAACTAACTAACTAAAACCACCACCAGTAACAAGTTAACAACCACTAAAAAGCCCTGAGATCTGGCCGACTTCTATAAAAAGTGAAAGTAGTTAATTCTCAAATGAAAGTCTACTTGCTTTTAAACAAGCGAGAGAACGTATAGTCAGCACGAAAATCGTAATGGTTTCAAGCACCGCCCTAATACTTCACTGTTTTCATAATCATCGTTCATGTCATATCCCAATTATATGTGCTGGGATACATGAATCTTGTTTCGCTAATTCATTCTATTTTTTAATTGCAGTTGTATATATATGCCATAATGATTTAAGTAGTAAATGAGATGGTAAAACAACAAGAAAATTAATGTTTAAGAAGTTGAAAATTAATTAGTTTAATTAATAAAACTAAACAAACATGATCAAACTAATTCACAAATAAATTAACTAATGATGAGTAACAAATTAATCATGCACAGGGTTGTCATTTTATTTGTTGGTAATGAATATAAAATTAATAAATGTGTTGACAAATTTTAAAAATGATTAAATAAATAAAAAACATAAAAAAATTATAAATGGACTTAAAAAATAATAAATTTACAACAAATAAAATGATTAATGGGTCAACCGGCCGGATCAATGAATTATTAACTTTTTCAATGGTTTTGGATAAAAATCAGATTTGGAGTAAAATGAAACTGGTTAAACTGGTTGCTTGGATGATTACCAAGCCGAACATTTTCACCTTCTAGGTCAATAGTGGTTCGAAAACCTTGATAAAACTATATCTTCAACAACCGGTGTAGGGTGACCAAGAACCAAAGAGGTAAGGTCTGCATTCTAAGCATCGATGGCGGAGCAATGAGTGGGAACAAGCTCTCAAGACCAAATCCGGAAATTCAAACGCAATAGCAAATTATTTTGATCCACTGGAACAGGTTTCAGAGGGATTTTAACGACATTGCTCTTTGCCACATTTTCTGGGCGGAGGAGACGTAGATGTTCTTAGCAGAATAGGGAAAGCGGCGACTCTAGCGGCAACATCAACAATGTAGGATCGGACTGACAACTATAAAACCAGTAACCTCAATGAAATGGGCTCCAGCTCTAAAGATTTCCAACAAGATCAGAAAGGCGAAAGTTGGGTTCAACTATGAATCGGTGATTACGTGATAGGACGAACCGATTTTAAAACATTTTAACCTGTGCAAATGAAATGGTCACTGAACGCACAGTGATGAACAACACCTCATGATGCTTTTACACAAACCTCTGCTTAATTAATCAAAAGACGTCTATCCATTTCTTCTATTTTCTTCAGCGGAACCCTAAAATGCTCAGTGGATTAAAGGATTGATGACGTCTAAAGATGGTTGATTAAAGACATCTTGGAGGTGATCAAAGACTGTGAAGTTAAGTTTTGTTCTGTTCGAATGAATCTGAACCCAACTAATTGATTAAAGACATCTTGGAGGGCCGGCGAACTCTACCCTTAATCAATAATAAAGCTGGTTGATTATTAAAGACGTCTTGGAGGTGATTGAAGACTATGAAGAAGGATTGTGTTGCAGTCCTGTATTGCATTGCTAACTAACTCCAAAACCTTAACCCAAAATAAATTAACAGCATAAATCCTAAGAAAATTCGAGGGAGAAAAAAGTGTGATGAAATGAAAGTCAAACGGAGTTTAGTTTAATCTTCACCGAAATTAAAGACCTCTTGTGTGTTCAATAATTCATTTAGAAAAATGATTAAATTAAATGGATTATATTTGCTTGTAAAAGTGGCCAACGGATAAATTTTACAATTTGCCCAAAGCAGATTTCTGATTTCCACTGCAGGGCTATAAACATTTAAATGGACCGATATTCACATTCTATGCATCTATGCCCGTTTGTGAATTAGCATTAATTCCAAGCTGGTACCTACCCCAATCATACATCAAACTTACAAATTCTAACACTGGGGGTATCCATCATTCTTCCTAAATTTTAAAGTTTATAAAAAATTAAGAATGGACCACCAAGATTAAAGACCTCTTATCATTGTGAGTGGACGGTGTCTATAACCAGTGATTCTAATTGGAGAACGAGCTACCGTCGTCGTACATTTCTTTTAACATTCACCTGGAAACAAAAAAGAGCTCAATCAGATATTATTATTGAGCTTTGCTTGTATCTCACACATCATATACGTCAACATATGAGCTTTGCTATGCTCTTCGTTGCTCACACACACTTTCTCACATTCTATTTGTCTCTATCTCTGTCTATAATAGAGCTCTTTTTAACCATAAAAGGGTATTTTTGAAATTTCAAAAAATATACCAGTCACATGATGTTACATGTGAAGGGTTATAATGAAAAACTAATAACAGAGGAGGTTTTAGACAATTGTCAGAAAATTTAGAGGTACTTTATAAATCAATGTTTTAAAAAATGACCTAAAATCGGAACCATTATGACCACCGGTTTTTGGGTTGATAGAAATTAAAATAAAAAAATAACTATAACCATTGAACAACTCGACAGTTCAACTACCTAGCTTAATAGGTTGTTGACCGACTCAATAGTTTTTTGCTAGGGATTGGGTTTGGGGTAAAAACTGGTAGACTGGACAGTTCCTGAACCGAATGATCCAACCATCCAAGTCAACAATGGTTTGAAAATCATGATACAAACGGTAAGGGTAGAGTTAATTTCCTAAACCTTAAGGATACTTTAAGAAAATTGCCCAAATAATAATTATTAATGATAAATATTGATTCATAAAATATTTATCATTAATAAACAATAATGATCAAAGTACTAAAAGGGAATTTTAATGAAACTATGAAAAAATATTTATTTAAATAAAATATAATTATAAAATTAATAAATAGATAACTAATATAAATTTATTAACTATATATGCTTATATGATATAAGCATAAGTATTGAATCTCAAACAAAATAATAAATTGTGTGGAACCAAATATAAAATCTATCTATTAAAAAATCAAATAAAAACCATAGCCTAAATTTATAATATAGGTATAATGGTGTTGAACCAAATACCTCAAATGAAAAAAAAAAAATAGTTCAGATTCGTGGCCCCGTATTAGGTTGTCAAGCATGAAAGTGTCATGTCACACCTTGGAAATTGGAAAATGTGTGGTGTAAGAAAGTTTTTTTTTTTTTTACGATTTCTCGTTTTTATGCTGATTTGTTGGCATTGAAAAATGACTATATGGCAGCAACTGTTGAAAAGAAAAATCAGAAAATGGCATATATACTAATGCCCATTTTCTAAAAAAAAAAGCACCAATTCCAAAGATATACAATGTTTTAACAACAGTGAACTCCTCACTTGATCCATTCATGGGTCATTAGGTGACCCCCCCCCCCCTCCACCTCTAAAATAACCATTTGAAAAGGTGCTTTTTTTCACATAATTTCGTGTCGAACTCTAGACATGTACTTTGAAAACAAAGTGAGTGGAGTTATAAATAAATAAAAAATATATATTATTAACTTCAAGGTTTTTAAAATCGAATTGGACAATAAATTGTTTAGGTCCGTTCCTGAGTTAAATGGTTTGACCATTCAAATTGAATGAATGACCTTTAAAATTAAAAAATAATCAAAAACTGCTGCTCAGGTTGACAGTTCTAATAATTCAATCCTCCAGGTCAGCAATTTACTGACCAAATCAATAGTTTTTGACTAAAAAATGGTTTGGAGTGAAACAGATGGCCGACTTTCAGTTTTTCGATTCAGTCGTCCGATCCGATCCAGTTTTGTAGGTGACACAACCACCTACTAAAAAGTGGATTGGCCGTTGGGCACTTGTTAGGTTGATGGATTTGAAAAATGTGTGAAACATAATTATTTCATTCAGTTTGGTGTTTCAAATTTTACATGTTATTGGATAGAATGGAATGGCGAAACAGAATTCATGTAATTGACCTCGTATAAATGGGATGATGATGATGATTTTAGCATTTGAAATTTCAAGTTTATTATTAAAGCAAATCACATGAAAACAATCATTTTTCTCTTTTTTATTTATTTTTCCATAGATGCAAATGAGCAATACGGTTTGGAATCATGGTATCGCATGATTTAAAGGGGTAGTACTTAATTACTTATTTAAAGGGGAATTGTACATTAAAAAATATAATTTTGTAAAAAAATGGTTTTTTAATAAGAAATTTATAATTATAAGTACTTAAATCTTGAAGTCCATATAAAAATTTAAAAGAGATCATCATATGCTCGTTTTTTAAATATATTTTTTTTTCAGCAAAACACCTCATATAAAAGAATATGATAGTTCTGAGCTCTACTTTATACTTGTCATTTGTTTCACATCAAGAATTCCCAGTTGACCCGAACGGTAGAACCGTTCGGCCCGGGAACCGTTCAGGCAACCAATTCCATTTTACCCCAAACCTGGTCCCTGGCCAAAAATTGTTGAATCAATCAACGACCTGTTGACCCGAGTAGTTGAACAGTTGACCCATTCAATGTTTTTTTGCCATTTTTATTTTTAATTGTTTTTATTTTTTGTTGTCAAAAGGGGCCATCCGTTCGAATCGGATGGTCAAACCATCTACTTGGAAACCAATGGCTATAACGGTTCCGTTTTCAGGTCATTTTTTCTGGATGTCAATAATTAGACAAAATAACTTTATAGACATAGTCATGGAAAATGTGGACATTGCAAGGAATACCAAAACCTTGAAAGATAAATCCAAACTCCAAAATGACCTTAAATACATTAAAAAATTGGCGATAATTCACCAAACTAGAAAAACCAAGGAAAAAATCAAAAAATCAAGTCCAAAGTTCCGCTTTAAGATGGAATTAAACATACACAAACAAAGAAAGAGACAAAACAAATCGTCTTGTAAGAAAATTAAAAAAAAAATTGCATAAGAAAACCCAAAGAAAAAACAAAAGGGAA